TGGTCACCTTCCACCTGAATTTTGTGTTTACCTTTACATAAATAAAAACATTTCCACCATAAATTGGTGCAGAAATTTTTTACCAGAATGCAGGAAATTAAGTCTTTAATGTTCAAAATCTTCTGGGGAAGGACCCCCAGACCCCCCCTTATTAAGTGCACCATCCAAGAAAACTGTCTCTGTGTTTACAAAAAGTTTCTAAGGAACATTCACTTATTAATTAAATACAATTACTATTGACATGGCTTTTTTGTTCCCTGGGAAAGTCATAAAATTGTTGTTTATAAACTTATGTGCATATTTCATGTTCATAATAATAATAATAATAATGATAATAATCAACAATATTCAGGGTAAAGAGCCTTTTTTGATGGGGTAAGGTAAGGTAAGGGCCCTGGATAATGGGTAGGGGGGCGCTGGCCCAAAAAAGGTTGAGTACCACTGCCATAAACAAACAGAATGCTGATTCTGGCTTCACTCTCTCAAAACTCAATCCCAAAAACCTCAGTTTTTTGTGGCGGTGTGACATCAACTCTCCCATTGGGGGTGTTATGGCCTACAGAGTATCACTCCACAGTGTCTATGGCACCTCCCCTACCAAGTGGTTAATGAGGTCAAATGACGAATTACACAGTCAGTTTAACCCAGGGGCTTGGGACTTCATACACAGAACAGATTGCCGAGAGTATGTTAGCCCAAATCCAGGTCACCTGTGAAGCAGCAAGTAACTGTTTCCTTTGTGCTTGATCAAATGGACAGGAGGGCATAGTTAAAGTCATGCAGACGAAATGTGGAGACAAAAGATCTGCTGAAAAGTGCTAAAAAAAAATACCCCTCTCATATAACTACGCTCAATACTATAACTAGAGCAGAAATCTGCAGACCAGGCGTAGAATTTCAGCAGACGTTTAGGTTCATAGCCAGTGCAGCTGCCCCTCTTGGGCTAAGATTAGTTGCTGGATGGATAAAGCCACAGTGATTGACAGATGAGTTGCAGCACTGAGGAGACATGAGAGAGATGAATATGGAGCAGTTCAAAGTGAAATTAGCATTGAGTACTTTCAATTCCTCAAAAAAAAAAAAATGCAACCACCAAACATTTGGATTTTACCTTGCAAAATATTATTTTTGGCTCATGAGACGTCATCAGCATTTGCAACACTGGGTGATTTATAGATCAGGTGTCCAGGGTTTTGTTCCGACTCTGCATTTATTTGTATTTGTAAAGCATTTTTGAAAAATAGTCTAAAAATGTCTGACAACCAGAAACTAAACAAAGTACATAGAGAATTCAGGATGTTCTGTTAGGCATCCATGCAGTATTAAGTCTTCTACTCACAGTTAGCTAACTTGCACATGTACACAGAATTGTGTGTTCTTGCACGTAAAACTTTTCAACTGAAGGTCATGTTGCCTCCATGTGTAAATGTGATAGTGTGCGCAGGTTGACAAAGCACATCCGATCTTCTGGATGTTCTAAAGCATATTTGGACTGTTTGAACACATAATGAAGTCTGAGTTTTGAAGAGTGACATAAAGAAACAAGTGCACTTAATTTTCACATTGTACAGTACTACTTCATACTCTCACATCAACATTTATCTCTAACCATTGCCACAGTTGTTCAAATGCATATTTATTGTGTCATAAATGTGTAATTTTGGACCATTTGTAATTATTTGAATATATGTGACTTTCATACGTCTACAATGTAGAGCTAAAACAATTAGTCGATTAACTGAATTGAATATATTCAGGTTTTTCACTGTTCATTGGAAAAACAAGCAATGATGACATTAATGACATTAACTTGGGCTTTGGGAAAATGTGATGGCCATTCTTCTCTATTTTCTGATTTTTTTTTACCAAAAAGAGAATAAGATTAATTGATAATGACAGCAGCCCTGGTACAATGCCATTATACCACATTGAGATTTGTCTTCTACATAGTAGTTGCACAACTGGCAAATACACTCTCTGAGAAGTTTTTTGTGTCAAATATAATTTCCTTTAACCACGTGTCTATCTGCATTTTCACACTTTGCCTCATTTCACATAATATGAGATGGTCTAGTACTTTTTATGGAGAGAGCGGGAGAGAGAGAGAGAGCAAGTACAGGCCTTAAAATGGCATGCTGTATTGCAAACTAACAGAGGCACCTCAACAAAAAGGAAGTCACAGGTAGTTTAAGGGCTATCATCTGATGGAATAATTTCCCCACAGGCTCCAGGTGCAAGACCAGGATAAAGGCAGTATATCACAAGAGACCCAGACAGCTAATGTAGCATAAAGAGCAGCTCAAAATTTGCCCATGGTAAGAGCGACCCTTTCTTGTAACTGGGTCTTGCCTAATGAACTACAAGGCGCCTTGAATGACAATAAATGGTGTTTTTTATTCCAACAAACTCCTCAATGCATCACTAATAAGGTTAATTTGAGTCCCATTTGGCAAGAGGCATTAGCCTAAGTGTTTATCCGCTTTAGCATTGTCCCCTGTCAGACGGACAAAAAAACAGTGCCGGCAGTGTCATTAGAATGACACTGAATAGAAGGTGAACGCCCAATTTACTCATCTGAGCCAAATTAAAAGGAAGCACTCACGAATTACTTGCTGTTTTGTGTATGCTACAGGATAGTAAATTTGTTGTGACTATTCTTTTGCATGTTTTAAGTGAAGCTTATGAGCCTTGATGGTTGGGAAAACAAGCCGGAGAAACTGTGGTAATTAAGTTGAAGCTGGACAATGAGCAGTCATGACGTTTAATTGAAGTTAAGCCGGCAAACAGAGCAGTGCATGCGTAACGTACTGATGTGTTTACCTGGCTGTATAGTTATGTGTGTGTGCTGGGTGTAAAATGTATGGTTCCGGGCCTGGTTGTCCCACTTTCCCCAAACTGATTACAATTACAAATTCAGGTTAGGCCGACACAGCACAACAGTTATCTCCGGCCAAATGATAGACTTCCTTAATTAAAAATGGCAGACTTTGAGACTGCTGTTGAATGAATTATTTCTCTGAGATGCTCACACTGCCTCACTGCCTTTCAGTCAAACAGACAGTTTAAACATGCCGGAGAGTTAAACTGGAGGCTGCTGTTAAATTCACCAGGGCTACTGTTGCATACAGTGGGCTAGATAAGCCTCATTTGAATAATTCCCATATAGCTCTGCTGCTTTATCTCAGAGTTTACCCATCAGAAACGTGTGGTGTTGTGCTTATAAAGTTGTCAGACACCACAGCACCACTGGTAATCAATAACGAGCTTTGGGCACTGCATTGTATTTTGGTGCAGATATTATTGACATCCCCTCAGACTGAAAGATCTATAATAGGCTTTGCTTTGCAGAGAAATTGACATTTTAATGTCTTTGTTGTGTTTGTAAATTTTTGGAGAGAGCAGAGCCACACTGTGGGCTTCAAGCTTCATGGGAGTTTATTTTGCAGTAGTAAGAAAGTGACTGGCTAAGCTCCAGTTATTGTGATGGGGGGTGTCTAAATCCCATGTCCATTAAATAGCTCTGTATAACAGATTAGCAGGAGCCTATTAGTTGAAAAGAGTTCTGAGATTTCCCACTCCCACACGTATTCTCGAAGACGGCGTACCACCTGCAAAGTCTGCATTACCCACTTTAAAACCAAAGACTTTTAAAACAAGACTGTCTCTGGGACAGGATGTAATTAAGAGGAGGGCGTTAGGGACAATAGTAAGTCTTTATCTTGGAAATCTCAAGAGGGTTTATGCACTGCAAGAAAAACACAGAGGGGAGGAGAGAGAAAAAAAGAGAGCAGGCAAAGTCATTGTATTGTCTGTCATTGGCATAACAGCACTTCAATGGAGTTTACACAAGCATCCACTACCAGGGTGGTTCATTAACAGTACATTTCAAGCTGATCCAAATTGTCCAGGAAATGCAAACCAGTAACATTAACACACAGGGACTGAGTCCAAGATCGTCTCTGCAGCAGGAGTATCTGAAGATGGATATTGTCTGCTGGGTGCCAAGATTATTTTGGGAGCCCAAGACCCTGAATCGTCCCCGGGCACCTTCTGATTAGCTTTGTCATCAGGTGTGAAAGAGTGCCTACACACTGCATACATCCTTGCACTCACTCCTCAGGAACGTAATAATACACTAAAAGTTGCAAGGTGGCTCCAAAATACAATACCATAAAATATAGGTGCAAAGATAAAGGGTCTAAGAAAGACAAGAAAAGAAAAGAAAACAATTGCAGCTTATCTGCAGACCTCAGGGTACCTCTCCCATTTCTCAATTGGAAACATGCAGAAGTTAGGAGAAGATCTTAAGATGTCACCCCTGTTAACCTTGAAGTGTGTTGCAGCCCTACACAGTGCGGTGTACAGCGTTTGCTGCATTTTAGGGTAGGCTACATTTCAAATACAACAAAGACGATTAATGAAGGTAAAAGGAACAGTTTTAGATGGTTTTAACCAACAACAGAGCTATGACTGTGGATGAGCAAAAGCATTATGGAAGACACAATGCTCCCAGTTGTTTATAGCAAACAATGCTGTATTTCTCCAGTCTATTTCACTCTGCAGGTTTTCCATGTTTGATCACGCTGATAGAACTCACTATTTGATAGCGACGGGTCCCTGCTTGTTTATTCAATTTCCTATCTCATTGCCTTTTTTCTGCTTACCTTTCTATTTCCGTTGCGCGGCAGATCCGCGAGCTGAAATGAATTCCGCGGCGCGTGCTTATTGTCCAAACACACATACACACTCGCGCGGACGCGCACTACCGCTTGCTTCTCTACTTTTTTCTGGTGCGTGTTTGTGTGTGCGTGCGTGCGTTGTGTGTGTTTGCGTGTGTGTAGATGAAGTCGTATCCTGGAGAAGTTTTTAATGCGTGCGTGAAAGTAGCCTACGTGAGGATTGTGGCGCATTGGACGGCTGTAGTGTTGAATGAACGGAAGCAGGAGGGAGATCATACATTAACTCCTGCTGGATGCGGGTGAGGGGGGGGGGGACACTTCCAGTTGATAGATGCCAAGACAGAGGGATGCGCTCAGAACAACACTGACAGCTTTTTGAAGAAGCACGGAAGCGACAAATGAAACCCAAACGAAAATCCACTTAATTTTCTGGCTATCCAGTGCCTTCCAGGGGATTTTACGCACCGCAAAAGAGTGAAGAAAACGCTGCAGATATGAGCGCTGCGTGGTTGTACATGCTCCTGAAGGATCCCCTCTCCTGATAAAGGGACCAAAGAGGACAAAACAAGGCTGCCCATGATATTTTCCAAAAGAAGATTGCAAAGGTGGAGCGATTAGAGAAGGGCTGATGACGGGACTATTAATCCCTTCAGTGCATCAAAAGCACCAACGGGTATTAGAAACGACTGGATGGAAATCGGGCGAGTGTTTGGAACTGTTTTTGGTTTTATATGAAACTGGTGATTAGTTGTTTTGACACGTCTTGCAAGGATTTTTTGTCACTTAAGATTATATTGAGGAGCAAATTTGCCTTTTTCCCCCTCCCACTGAAAGGTTGTATGATATGAGCGGTTTCCCGGTGTGAAAACTCTGATCTCAATCTTTTTTTCCTCTTAAAGTATTCCTAGATCTAAATGGAATTAGTTGAGTCTGAAGCCGTTTGTGAAAGGAACAGACATGGTACATGGACACAGCTTCCATCACGGTAAGATATCCTGTATATTCATTAGCTGGAGCCCACTTGCTCAAACCTCTTAAATTTCTTAAACCCCAAAGAAAAAGAAGTGTAGTAATCCTCTAATCAGTTTTAGGAGCTTGCAAAATATCTGAGCAACAGATAAAAACTACAAATAGAAACAGAATTGTGTTTTTCTCAGGATGAAACAAATACCATGAGGTACATACTGCATTTTACAACAGAAACTCACTGTTGAAGGTCACACTGTAAGTTGTAGGTGTTTTTCTTTTTGGTTTTTGAAATAATTGACTCTTTGGAATACACATCTTGTGACAACTTATGATAAAGATGTTTTGGTTGTTCATTTATATCATGTCTCATTTTATGGTCATTTTACAGTAACTCTTTTTTACAGAGTTTGGTTAGTGCATGGCTGACCAAGGCTGCAAATAAGAATCATTCATGTGTTTGCACAAAGTTACAGTACAGGCTTAGAGGCTATGTTTCTGAGCTACTTGGAGCCTATTAGAATTATAAAGGCTGTTTGTTTTTTACCTTTCTGATTAAATAAATCATTGTAATTGATGTTATAATGATTATTTTAGGTATTGTGTGCTGTTTGGGGAAGGTTGCAGTCAGCAAGGGCTTAGCATTAGCATAAAGCTGGTGTACAGTGCATGAAATCCAAAACCTAAGATGTGTTCCTTGCTGACTCAACCCTCCCTCAGCTGAAATCACGCTGCTAACAAAACTGAGAAAAAAAGAGAAAAACAATATGGGCATGCCACAGTCTACCATCAAAAATTTATTTGTCTTTCTGTTCTTACAGTTGTTGCAAGTCTTCTCCTACTTGGGTTGTCTGGGGCAACAAGGAAGGATACTGCAGGTAATCTCCATTGCCACAACCGCACGCCTTTTCTCCCTAAGCGTCCTATTTTCAAAGCCTTAATCTCTCACTTCCCTTCTTTCTTCTTTTTGCTTTGTATGTTTTTAGTGAAAAACAATTCTGGAGTGAAGCCTGCAGGTCAATGTGGAACGTGGGTGAAAGAATCAGAAGGAGGGCTGTTCACGTCTCCCAATTACCCAAACAAATACCCCCCAGACACAGAGTGTGTTTATATCCTTGAAGGTAAATCTTCTTTTTAAGCACAGCAGCAGTGAGAGAGCACCGTGTTTGGGCTATTCTCTAAAGCTAAAGCTGGGGTTATCCTGCGGGGGGTGTTCCTTTGGTGATTATAAAATCACCAAAGTGAATGTAGAAGCTAAAGCCCTAAAAGCCAGGAGTGGAGATGTGTGTGGGTGTGCTGATAATGAAACCAGTTGAATGTTCATCAATGAAAGCATGGCTAATATTTTACTCCCTGCTCTGTGCTCGGTGGTCATTATTTTTACTGTGTCTTCCAGCTCCCCCAAGGCAGTGTATTGATCTACACTTTGACGAGAATTATTCAATCGAGTCCTCTTGGGAATGTAAATTTGACAACATCGAGGTTCGGGATGGACCCTTTGGCTTCTCCCCAATTCTCGGACGGTACTGCGGTCAGCATAGCCCGTCTGATATCAGGAGTAGCGGCCGATATCTGTGGATAAAATTTGTTACAGATGGTGAACTGGAAGCGGTGGGATTTTCAGCAAGTTACAACTTCACTGCAGGTACATTTTTTTGTAGCTGTTTTGCTCTTGTCAATTCATTTCTTTCTTTGTAAGCATGTCCATGCTTTATCGTTCTAACATCAAGGCTCTAAATGAATAACAAATATCATCCAGGGAACTCGCCCTTGTGGGAGCCTCTTGCTGCTTTATTGATTGTCTGTCTGCACACACTCATTATTTCTATTGGCAATATTCTGTCATTGGCTGGGACACTCTTTTGACTGGCTAGGCAGTTATTTCTTTTCTCTCTATATCTGGAGTGATGCGGAGCAGTGTCAGATTCAAATCCAGTTCAGCAGCACCACTCCTTAGTTTACAAGCCTGGAAACTAAGGCATTATCAACTACTAACTATTCGGCATTGTCAAACACAATCGTGGCAATTATGTCTGTGTGTTAAACCTTGGCTTTCTTAATTTGCCTCATCTTTGGTTGAGATCCTATTACTGAAGCAGCTTGAGGATTGATGACAAGGAATCATATTACCATGATTTAATATTCCTTCCTTCACCTACACTTGACTAGGTTTAATAACACTGTCAACTTTTTTAGTGTGTTTGAGGCTTGAAAGGCACAGTGCCAGGAAACATGAACGGTATGCCAATTTGTCTCCACATCCATTGCACCTTCAGGGGCATTTTACCATCTGACATATGAGTGTGTCATTGTTCAAATGATGAACACTTATGCAGTACATCAACCTTTCATTCGAAAAACATGCTACTAGCTACAGGCTATTTAAAAGAAACCTATCGAGGTGAAGAGGGACTATACATTTATTTTTACATTTATTTTGTGGGTGAAATTATGTTGAAGAAGAGCAATGTATAACAAGGAAATCTACGGAAGAATAAAGTCAAGGGCTTCATACCATGGGTTGTTAAGCAGAAGTGCTGCTACTTTTGTGAGATTTGTCAGTAGCAGTTACATAACTAATTTAAAACTGCACTAAGGTAAAACTGCTGTAGCTCAATGTATTATGTGTAAAAGTGTTACGCTGTCAGATATGATGTTTTCCAAGCAATTCAGAAAGGAGTTGGAGAGAAAAAAAAACATGTAAGAGAAAGTAGAAAACATGAATCCACACAAATTTCAAGAGAGTGTCAGGCGGGGTCGGGGATATGCTGTCGGGGATATGCTTACAGAGACTGCTGTCTGCTGCAGCATGAGTCTCTTATCCCGCTGCTGTGTTATACACATCACTTGTTCTAGCAACTTTGATTTTTAAGTTTTATTATTTAGAAATGCACTTGTGATATTGCAAATGTGTTAACTTGGTTAGGGCTGAGGCTGTTCACCAACGTAGTCGACGTAATCGATTACGTAAATATGTCGACTCGCATTATGTGCGTCGAAGCGTTGCTGTCCCCGGTGTTAGCAGGGATTCCCTCGGACAAGCTCCAGTTTGGGAGTGTTTTAGACAGACACTCAACAACATGGTGCTCGCTCCGTGAGCATCACTGCAGCACAAATGCTGTCCAAGAATATGTGAAGCAGCATGAACACGTGAAGCGAAAGTATCCCGGAGCACTGACGGCAGCACCGCAAATCCTGTTTCCTGTCTCCACACAAGCATAGCACGTTATCAGCACGAAGACACATAGTCCGTTAAAATGTATTTTCTAAGTTTTTCTTCATTGCGTTCATGTTAAAAGTAATTTCTGCCCTGCTGCTGTCATGGTAACGTAACGTTACACCGTGTCATCTAACATTCGGCCATTTCATATTTTCTGTTTAACGGCCACGTATGAGCAAGAACTGCTGGAACAGCTGGATCTAACATTACAGACAATCTGTGACTGTCTGCACCGTCTGTGAATCGTTTCAGTTGTTTTCTTTGCCCCACACTGATGCAGAAATACATTTGAATATCATACTGCATATTACTCAATATTGAAATAAATCCATGTCAGAAACATTTGAAGTTTTAAGTAAAGTAGCCTAATTAATGTCTGTTATTGTTATTATCACAACACATCAGTAAAGTGGAAATTGGATTCATTTTAAGATTTGCTACTATTGTCATTATTTTAATATGCTTAATGAGGATGATTGAATAAAATATTGATTTATTGATCAGATATGTATTTGATATTTATTTTGGATAAATTGGTATGCTTATCGAGGAATAGGCAACTTTTTTCTTTAGAATACACAAAATGATTCGTTAGATTAATCGACTAATTGAAAAAATAATCGTTATATTAATCGATTTGAAAAATAATCGTTACATTTGGTGCTACTTGGTGCGCTGTAGCAGTAAGGCTAGTTGAGTAGCTAAACATTTGCCAGGCAATAATATCATTGGATGGATGGCATTCTAGCTCATTTTAAATAGATAGATAGATCTTTATTGTCATTGCTTGTATTTATACAGCAAAACTCTGTTGGAGCAATCCAATTTGCAGCATTAGAATAAGAAATAAAATATATGCACATAATAAGAAATAGGATAAACAAACTCACATCCACACACACAAACACACACACACACATATGGCCACAGAGGTCATTAGTGTGCAGAGTCTGACATATTGGGAAATACTGTTATTCACTATTTTGCCAAGAGTTATATGAGAAGATTGATAACACTCTAATGTCTGTACAGTAAAAATGAAGCTACAGACAGCAGCTGGTTAGCTTAGCATAGTACAAAGAGGAAACAGGAGTTGTTGTTTTTTCTTTTTTAATGAAACTTTGTATCAAACATACAAAAAAGCACATTACATTCATATTTAATCAATTATACAACATGAATTGAACATGGAGTAAAATATTGATAATTTACCAAGCAAAGAAATAAAAGGAATGGAAACAGATTATTCATTCCAAATTCAGTTCTTCTGTTCTGCATTTGAAGCCCAAATTTATGATATATGTTTTGTGTATTGTAAATGATCCAGTACTGGAAAGCATCCCAGAAGGTCTGGGTTACTCTACTAGAGAAGAATGGAAACAGGAGAAAACAGCTAGCCGGGCTTAACAAATGGTGACAAAATCTGCCTATCAGTACCTCTAAACTGATTTTTTGTCATTCGTTTGACCATTGGAACTTTTGACTGTTTTTGATTCCCCCCAAAGAGCCCATTTACCAACTGTATAGATAGTTAGCAAGAAAGCCAGTTACTTCTGTTTCCAGTTTATCTCCTTTGTCCTTTTCTCTCTGTTTGTTTATTTAGTACAGTCATAAAGCGCTCAAGCTGAAACATTTCCAACTAGTGTCTTTGTGTCAGTTTCCACCGCACAGGACTAATTGTGTCCATTACGTCAGTTCATCAACTTTGTATGCAAATGTGCCACCTCTAAAATTCGCCTCACGATATGTTTGAACACACCGTAAAGCACACTAATTAACATTACAGCATGTTTGGTCAGTACATAAACTGAACTTCAGTTTTCGTGCAGCTAACAGACTAAGCTAACCAGCTACAGGTGGTATAGCTTCATATTCACTGTACAAAGAGTGGTATTAATCTTTTCATCATGCTCTTGACAAGAAAGCAAATAAGCATATTTTCTAAAACTTCAAACATGCATGTCCAGGTATCCTGATGTAGTCTCAAAATGTGTCTCAAGATGTGAATAAAAATTAAAGTAACATCACTACTGAAACTTCCAAAAAGTGCTTTTAAAAATAAAGCTACACAGAAAGGATAATTTGTCATTTCCCGCCCTGATAGTCAGAGATATAGAAGCCGGACCACATTTTCTGTAATGCGCAATTGGAGTATTGTTTCCTCTGCCTTCTTCTCTTGGGAGTCTCATTGACAATTTGCTGGGAGGAAAGAAAAAAAGCTCTGCCTCTCGACTTGATAGGAAATATCTGTGGCATATGATTTACATAATTAAAGAAGATAAAAGTACTGAATTCACTCGACTTGATACTCAATCTGGCATTGTGAATAGTGTCTCACATCTGCAGCTGCTCTGCTAACCATGCTAATTCACACAGCCCTCCTCTGATGAATATGAGAGAAAAAAAGAGGCAACAAAGGTGACATGAATCACCACCTCTTACTCTCTTTCCTCAGTCTTTTTAGGAGTGGAGAGATAAAAACTCTTATGTCTCTTCATCTTCTTCACGTTCTTCCAGTATCTTTTCAGAGCCTCGTGCTCTCGATGACTAATGCAGTTAGTACAGCAGCCAGTGAATGAAGGAGCAGTGACTGGAATCTCACAATATCCGGTGTCATTTTATGTGTTGAGGTACTTCAGTGAAGCACTTCACAGTCTGCAGATGCTATGTATTCAATTTATATGTGGCATCAGTGGAAGAGATGTTGGTGTAACAGACACTAGAGACTGACTCAGACCAGTGACTAAATGAACTTGGCTGCCCATGTGATGTGATGCACAATTTATTTGTCAAACTAATTACACCCAGATGCCTCATTCATGGTCTTGTTTTGCATCACAGAACTTTTGCAGCTGTCTTTTTTACCTCTGCAAAATACAATGTACTGCAGCTTTCCCCACAGCTGTAAAAGGCTTTGAAAGCTGTGGGGGGACTAAATATATCGATAAGATCATGCAACTATTTCCTACTAAAGTCATCCAGCTACAAAGACAGACTTTCATTGACTTTCTGGCACCTGTGGAGGGACTTCAGGCTGTGGAGTCTATCTGGCGGGCTACATATGTGACTCACTTGAGTTACCTGACTGAATGAATGTACATTGTAGGCTAGTCAGGAAATATCTCTTTATCACCCAGATGAATCATAGTCATAAGCGGCCCATTAAATATATGGAATCTCACAATATCTGTCCTAATTCTCGCACTAGTGTACACTCTGGTATACTTAAAACAACAGTACGACATTTTGGGAAATACCACTTCATGTCTGTACAGTATATATAAAGCTAACTCCAGCAGCTAATTAGCTTAGCTTAGCAGAAAGAGTGGAGGCAGCAAACCTGGCAGGTCAAATGGTAACAAAATCCTACTAGCACCTCGAAAACTCACTAATTAACACGTTTTATCTCCTTTCTTTATTTGTTC